AGGTAACACTGGGAGGGAATGACCTCCAGGCCAATTGGCTGTGAGAATCAGCTGTGTCTGCAGTGGGAGAACTTCTGTGCTGGAGACACCCTTCTGGGGCAAGACTTGCTTCAATGGGGCTTTGGTGCTCACTGAGTCTGCCCCCTGAGTTTGTCCTTTATGTTTCCACAGAGCTGCAAACTGGATGGTCCCACTCTGACCTCTGGGCTTCCTGGCTCCTGGATCTCTAGGGAGATGCTAATCTATTGCCTGAGGCTATCCAGCAAAAGCCTCCCTGCAGGGCTTGGGTGGGGCCGGTCCCAGGGATCAATAGGGCGGGGCTAGCAGTTATGGCTGCTCTCAGTCCTGCCCTCAGAGGCTTTGCTTCTCAATGTCCCGGTAATCGCTGCAAGCCCCTTGGAGAAAAAGCTGCCCTCGAGTTCCGACTGCTGCCAGACAGTCCCGCTTCTCCCGTATGAGTCTGGGTCCCTAGAGACTCGCCCGGAACTGGAGCTCAGAGCCTGAGACTCCCTCCCGATTGAAAACGACAACCGTGCCCTCAGCCACCAGCCCGCTCCACATGCACCTCCGCACCTTAGTATTTTACTTCAGCACTGCACCTCCTCTGAGTCTCGGTATTCTTTTCTCTTTCCTTCTAGTTGTAGAATTTCCACTCAGCCAGCCTTCCTGTGGTTCTGGGTGATGTCCGTTCCGTCTTTTAGTTGTATTTTTGAAGTGGTTGTGTGAGGCAGCAATCTCTGGTGTTTACCTATGCCGCCATCTTGGTTTCTCCCACTTTTATTAATTTAAAAAATATATTTGTATTGATTTTTTTTTAGGGGGAGAGAGAGAAATGTTCATGTGAGAATGAAACATGACCGTACCTGGGTTCAAGCCCACAATTTGAGCATACAACTGGCAACCTTTTGGTGCACAGGATCCACACTCAACTGAGCCACACTGGCTAGGATTATTAAATCAATTTTATTTTATTTTAAAATATATTTTTATTGATTTCAGAGAGGGAAGGGAAGAGAGAGAGAGAAACATCAGTGATGAGAGAGAATAATTGGTCAACTGCCTCTTTCACACCCCACACTGGGGATAGAGCCCGAAACTTGGGCATTTGCCCTGACTGGGAATCCAACTGAGACCTCCTGGTTTATAGGTAATTGCTCAACCACTGAGCCATGCTGATCAGGCTTAAAATAATTTTAAATCATATCATGTGCCCTGGCCAATTTGACTCAGTGGATAGAACGTCAGCCTGGGGACCAAAGAGTCCTGGGATCGATTTCTGTCAAGGGCACATACCTCACTTGGTTGCAGGCTCCTCCCCTGCTGGGCCCTGGTCAGGGTTCATACAGGAGGCAACCTATTGATGTGTTTCTCTCACATCGATATGTCGCTCTGTCTTTCCCTCTCTCTTCTACTCTCCCTAAAATTCAATGGAAAAATATTCACGGGTGAGTGAGCATTAACAACAACAACAAAAATATATCATGTAAGCTTTTAAAATCTGTACCAGGTTTACTCTAAGTTTAAAGCTTAATAAAATTAAAGACCTGGAAGAAGCTACCTTTCACATCACAAGATACACATTGCAGCCACCCTCCTGTTACAATTTTGAGATCATTGTATGCTCTCAAAAATGTGTGTATTCACCTACTGGCTAGTTGCACAAGGGTTATCTCATATCTACTGGTCACCCAAGTGAGTGTGAGCTCCAAGTTATGTACAATAATAGTGTCTTAGAAGCATTTGTAGAAGCTTCAAAGAACCTTTTCCATTCTCACAATAACTAAAGCAATTATAATAAATGCTTGTTTTTACTATATTAAAAATGCCTTTACCTAGTTAGGATAAGCTTCAGGTACAGCTATTGGACTGCACTGTTCAACACAGTACTTTGCAGCCATATGTCTACTGACCACATGAAATGTGTCTAGTCCAAACTTAGATGTATTGTGCTGTGTACTTAACTGTCCTCCCCAAATTCAGATATTGAAGCCCTAATCCCCAATGTGTCTGTACTTGGAAACAGGACTTTTAGGAGGTAATTAAGGTTAAATGGGATCATGAAGGTGTGGTTCTAATCTGACAGGATTGGTGACTTTGTAAAAAGAGGAAGAGAGAAAGATTGCATTCTCTCTGTGTACATATACCAAAGAACACAGTGAGGACACTGGGGACTATAACTGTAAATCTTCCAGACAGAAAATCAACAAGAAAACAGCAGCCTTACATGACACATTAGACCAGATGGATTTAATTGATATCTTCAAAGCATTTCACCCCAGAGCAGCAGAATATACATTTTTTCAAGTGCATTTGGAACATTTTCTAGTATATACCACATATTAGGCCATACAACAGTAAGAATAAATTTTAAAAGATTGAAAAAGATGCTATTAAGCATCTTCTTCAACCACAATGGTATGAAACTAGACAATGATTGTAAGAAAAAATTGAAAAACACACAAACACATGGAGGTTAAATAACATGATACTAAACAATGAATGGTTAACAATGAAATCAAGGAAGAAACCAAAAGATACCTTGAGACAAATGAAAACACAATGACCCAAATGACCCAAAATCTATGGGACACAGCAAATTCAGTCCTTAGAGGGAAATTCATAGCAATATAGGCCTACCTCAAGAAACAAACAATCAAAAATCTCAAATAAACAATCTAACCTTACACACCTAACCAATAAAATCAAATCAGTACTCAAAAAACTGCCAACAAACAAAAGTCCTGTACCTATGGCTTCACAGGTGAATGCTACCAAACATTCAAAGAAGAATTAACATCTATCCTTTTAAAAATATATATGTATTGATTTTTTTTACAGAGAGTAAGGGAGAGGGATAGAGAGTTAGAAACATCAATGAGAGAGAAACATCGATCAGCTGCTTCCTGCACACTCCCTACTGGGGATGTGCCCACAACCAAGGTACATGCCCTTGACCGGGATCAAACCTGGGACCCTTGAGTCCACAGGCCAACACTCTATCCACTGAGCCAAACTGGTTAGGGCTAACACCGATCCTTATCAAACTATTCCAAAAAATTCAAGAGGAAGGAAGGCTCCCAAGCTCATTTTATGAGGTAACCATTACCCTCATTTTCAAAACAGACAAGGACATCGCACACACACAAATATAGCCAATATCCCTGATGAACATAGATATAAAACTCAATAAAATATTAGCAATCCAGCCCTAGTCGGTTTGGCTCAGTGGATAGAGCGTTGGCCTGTGGACTGAAGGGTCCAAGGTTCGATTCCGGTCAAGGGCACATGCCAGTAAGGGGTAGGCAGGAGGCAGCCAATCAATGATTCTCTCATCATTGATGTTTCTATCTCTCTCCCTCTCCCTTCCTCTCTGAAATCAATGTTTCTATCTCTCTCCCTCTCCCTTCCTCTCTGAAATCAATAAAAATAAAAATCAATAAAAAATATTTATACACACACACACTAGAAGGCTCGTGCACAAAAATTTGTGCACTGGCAGGGAAGGGGGGTCCCTCAGCCCAACCTGTGCCCTCTCACGGATCACGCTGCGGCTCACCCTGCCTGTCCCGCCCAAGACATGGCAGGCCCGGATCCTGCGCTGGGGTGGACAGCAGCTCTGATCATGCTGCGCTCACCCCACCACCCCCACCCACCCTA